CAATAGAGGAGGTTTTGGAGCAAATTGATAAATTAAACAGTAGGTCACCAGGACTAGATGGTATTCACCCAAGAGTTCTGAAGGAACTCGCATATGAAATTCTGGAACTAACAACTGGGTGGTTTAAACATCATTTAAATCTCCTTCTGTACCAGATGATTGGCGGATAGCTAAAATGACACCAATTTTTTAAAAAGGCTCCAGAGGTGATTCTGGCAATTACAGGCTGGTAAGCCTAACTTCAAATTGGTTGAAACTATAATAAAGAATAGAATTGTCAGACACATAGATGAACGCTATTTGTTGGGGAAGAGCCAGCGTGGCTTTTGTAAAGGGAAATTATACTTTCTCATTCTGTTAGATTGCCTGCCCTCCTTCCCCCTCCCAGTAGGAAGGAACTGAGGTGGTTTGGGGTAGTGCGACCCTTTATAGCTGCGTGCTGTGGCACGAGTCACCAGAGAGTGCCCATGCTGTCCCAACAGTACTGCTGAGGGGAGAATCTCCAACAATTGTGCATGAGGCACTCAAATACCTACAGTGGAATAGCCGTGTGCAACACATTTCAAAGGACAGCAGTGAGCTCTACCTTTCTGTAACTGCTTTTTTCCCCTCTGTTTGCTATGTAATGTCATTTTTTGAAATAAGAAAATAAATACTTGGCACTTGCATAGTGCTTCAGATTTCTAAGTGTTGCACAAACATTAACAGAATGGTACAATAAAATTCAAACATGTTTGTTACGCTCTCTGGCATGGGAAGTAGGGTACTCAGTCACTTGGTTCCAAAGTTCTTTCTCACTGCTTGTGCCTCAAGTTATAACTGTGAATGAAAAGTGTTTTCATGTTTGGTTAATAGGCTAGAGGTCGAGCATTTCAGTGCTCAAATGAGCACTGGTAGCCCAGGTGATTTAACAAGGTGTAAAAATAAAGTAGCAGTTAGTGTGCTGTTCAGCTCACTGCAAAACATAATCACTTTCTGCTGGTTGCAAAGCCAACTTGCAGAGCTTTGAGTAATTTTTTAATATTTTGTCCATTTTATGTGCAGACATTACAAACTAAAGAGGCTTTCTTTAAACATTATTGAACTTTAGAATTAGCAGTATAAATGTTGTATAAAACACCATGTCGTTCAAAAAGTAAAATCTATTGAGAACACTAATTTATTTTCATTACTGCAACTATTCAAAGAGTAGTGCAAGAAAGGCAATTTCTCCTTTACAGTTGAAAATCTAGGTCACCAGGTGGGTTTCTATATTAGATACAAGATTGCCTAGCTTTTCTTCATAAAATAATGCTTGTTTAGCATAACCTAAGACTCAGTGTTGCTGACCATGCCACTGGCTGTCAGATCAGCATTTTTGTAGTAACTGTATAAAAGCAAGGTTTTGTGAAGAAAATAAGAGTGTAACTTACAATATTGTTATGTGTAAGAGTGTTTGCTTCAGGTAAACATTTTTCTTCCCCTTTCCAGTTTGTGTCCACCACCATATTCTTGATCATGCTCATACATACAATGACACACATTGCTTGAAAAACTTAAAATCAGCTATTGACTGTGCAACCACAGTAAGTTTGGATTTTGCAATATACTGTATGTGGTGACATTTTGAAGGCAAAGTCAGGGTCAGCTCAATGCATTAATGAACATTCTTCAAAGACAAAAATACTGCATTATAATGAGAGCTTTATTTGCTTTATGTAGTTTGAGAACTTCACAGTACTATTCTATTAAAGAAAAGCTTGTAATAGCAACCTCTATTGCAAGTTAGATGCAGAGCACCTTGGAAAAAAGTCCTCCAATAAAGGCAGTACTGTGTAACCAGCTCTCCATGCTTCAAGCGTGGTACTACGAACTGGTGTATGTAGATAGACTTCCTATTGCAATGATGGTTGGTTCACATTCCTATTGTTCCATATTGTGTATTCATGGCTTAGACACCATCACTTCTGTTGCTGTCTAAAGGTGTTTACCTATCAGCCTACTCAGACCTAAGTGTCAAAAGGGGGAAACCAAACATAGTTGTTTATCTTTTGAAGTGAGGGATGGAAAAAATGGATGCAAGTGATATTGCAAGTCCAGTTTGCAAATTCCAATTCTGCAGTTTCTTGTTGGAAGAAACTTATTCTGCAGTTTCTTCTTCTTCTGTTTTAGAAGCTTTTTTGTTGGAGAATTGCGACTTTTAGGTCTGAAATTGAGTGTCCAGGGAGGTTGAAGTGTTCTCCGACTGGTTTTTGAATGTTATAATTCTTGACGTCTGATTTGTATCCATTTATTCTTTTGTGTAGAGACTGTCTGGTTTGGCCAAGGTACATGGGAGAGAGGCATTGCTGGCACATGATGGCATATATCACATTGGTAGATGTGCAGGTGAATGAGCCCCTGATGGTGTGGCTGATGTGATTAGGTCCTATGATGGTGTCCCTTGAACAGATATGTGGACACTTAATTTCAGACCTAAAAGTCGCAGTTCTCCAACAAAAAAACTTCAAAAACAGATTCCCACAAGAAACTGCAGAACTGGAATTTGCAAACTGGACACCATTAAATTAGGCTTGAATAAAGACTGGGAGTGGATGAGTCATTACACAAACTAAAAACTATTTTCCCATGCTAATTTTCCCCCTACTGTTACTTACACCTTCTTGTCAACTGTTTGAAATGGGCCATCCTGATTATCACTACAAAAGTTTTTTTTTTCTCCTGAAAAATTTTGAAATTAGTAAGTAGCCCCTATCAGTTGCATCGTACTTTAGATGTAGACCTTTCCCAAGTACAACCCTGCCAGTACTGATTGGTATGTGCTTGCTCAGCATTATTAAATCACTCTTATTACATGGAGTTTGAGGGGTGATATTTGCCCTGCAATGTCAGAGGGAGAGGTGTTACTGTGTAGTGTTATAATTCTTGATAAAAATTAACTGAGTTCTCTGGGATTCTACAAAATTTTCTGAGTTCATCCTGAGGAATTGCTTTTGTGATAAGGAAAATCAATGGATTTTCGAGTGAATTCTTGGTGAGTCTAAGCCTTTGGCGCAGTGTACAGTATCCATTACAAGAGAGTTTGGAAGCAGCTACTTCAGTCTTTTTTTTTCCCTTGTATTGCCTCTCTATTTCTGAATAGGAAAAATCAGAAGCACAGGTTACTGACTGACAGAAAACCAATTTGTAGGTGTTAATGCAAGATGCTTTGGTACAAAACAAAAAGTCCTGTAAGAGTTCATTTGGAATTAGTGATCCGCATAATGCAGCCTGCTGCTAGTATTTGTGTATTGAATAGAAAAAGTGAGGTTATTTGGAATGGAAAATATTACAACTTCTTTATACTGAACAAAGGCAGTGAGGGAGCTGTCAGCAACTGAAATGACTCCTTTTTACAATGACCTTTGTAAATATCTTTACTCAAATAAGTTTAAATTTGAAAAAGTTAAAGTGGAAGTATTGGGACCATGTACCTCTTCCTTGGAGTAATATTCCACAGTCCAAAAAGCTGTCTGGGAATACTGGAAATTTTCCCAACAGCGTAAATCTTATTTTCTTTTATGTAATATCATTAATGCTAGTACTGCATTCTTTTTTTTAAAAGACTATTTGGATTCTTTTGGAGCTAGATGTAACGCTTGTTTCATAGCAAAATACAGGTTAAATGATAGTGACTTCAAATTGTTTTACATTGCTGCATCTGTCACTTTGATGTTACTATAGTTGAAATGGATAAATTAAAATATGCTTACACTCTGAACATGCAAAATGTTAGCATGAGGCATTTAGCCTTCTCGTTGCTCTTATGCCCTATATAGTATATAATTACAGTACATATCTTGTCATGAAACAGTGAAATATGTTGATACAGAAGCTTTCCTTATGTTGCAACAAGAGGCTCCAATGGTTGTGAGTTTCTTCTTGGAAATGACAATTCATAGCTGGACAGAAAATAGAGTTTTCTGTACAGGATGTTGTGTTGCTGACACAGAAAAATACCCATTCCTGTTCCATAAAATGTTCAAATGAGACTGCTATTTCAATCAGGTTTAAGGGAGAGGAGTAAATATCAAGAACAATCTTGTGGAAATAGGAGTGATCTGGAATCTCTGTGGGGAAACTGAGCTGGAGTGGGTCTCAATCAGTGCTGTCAGGCATTGGGGGAACTCTGAGTTTTAGGGAGTAGGTAGCAGACAATGAAAAAGATAAGTAGCTTAGATAGTGCAGTGGGTTAACAGTAGTATATATTTTAGGATATCTATGTTCAACTCTGAAAAGGGCATAAATTAAAACTCATCCTATTTTCTATTTCTATACACTACAAGCAGAACATGACTGGATATAGCACTGTCTTAAGGAGAGAGATCAGGACTGAAATAGCAGTGTATTATAGGTCAGGACTGAAGAGTCCATGGTAAAGTTCCATATGGAAGTTTGCATGCCGTCTGCCTATATTTTTACCTGGCTTGCAAATTGCACACTGCGGAAGAGTGCGGAGATGAAATCTGTATCTAAACAGAAAAGTTTTTGTCATTGGAAAACAAACTAAATATACTGATACCCTTATGTAAGAACTAAATTATGCTTTAGAAAACAGAATGGATAAAGGAATGTGGTTAAAGAATAATTATGTTCTGGTTAGCAGTAGCTCAGTACAATCTATTCTGTTTGTGATTTTAGTTTAACCTTTTTTGAATAGCTTGAATTCTACAAAATACCTCAAGGATTCAGGAAATGAATCTAAAACATCCTTAAGAATCCATAATAGTAAGTCGGATCAGTGAATATTATAAAGTAATTCTAAATAAGTATTAGTTTTACTGTTCATTTAGTAGTGGATCTACATCCTAATACTGAGGGGAAATAATTTTAATAAAATCTTTTCTTATTCAAGTAATTATGAGTACACAGTGTGGTTAATGTGTGTAATTAATGTAAATTAATTATTCAGGAATATTTTTTGGACATTTTGAGCCTTATCTCTCTGCATTATATAATAAATGTATTTTATTGGCAGGTAGAGAGTAAAACAATGGCAAGCAACAACCAGCTTTGCATCCGACGTTGGACGACTAAGAATGTAGCCAAATGGCTAAAGGAAGAAGGCTTCTGCGAGTATGTGGACGTTTTGTGCAATAGACACAGACTGGATGGTATTACATTATTGACACTGACTGAATATGATTTGCGATCCCCTCCTTTGGAAATTAGAGTCCTGGGGGATATCAAAAGACTAATGTTGTCGATACGCAAATTGCAGAAACAGCATATTGAGGTTTTAGAAGAATTGGGTTACAACAGCGATAATCCCATTGGCACAATGTCTCCTTCTGTTGGCTCCCTTCAAGGTACGGATTGGTTTTGTAATGGTGAAATACCACGGGACTGTGGACCAGTTACTGACCTGAATGCTGATCAGTATCAATACACAAATGGGAAAAACAAACATCCTATGCGAAGACTGGACCCTGAATACTGGAAAACAGTCTTAAGTTGTATATATGTTTTCATAGTGTTTGGCTTTACGTCTTTTGTCATGGTTATAGTACATGAGCGCGTACCTGACATGCAGACATATCCACCGCTACCAGACATATTTCTAGACAGGTAAGTACTTGTTCAGAAACAGAATGATGGTGTTAAATCACAAAATTCTTATACCTTTATAGATATTTTGAATTTCAATGTTTTTCATAATAATCTTTCAATATCTAACACTTCTGTATGTATTCGCCCACAGTCTAGATTGTAATGTACTCCAATTCTCGAGATTAAAAAAATATAATTTTAAAAGGCTTTTGTGAAGAAAAAAATTGAGCAGTTGACTTAAAGGGCTGCTGTTACTACTGTACAATTGGATTTTAAAGGAAAACTGCTGTGATTAGTTCTACTTCCTTAGCTAAATGGTTACTTAAAAGATGTGTACACTACCTGACTTGACTGTCCCTTCCTCCCACACGCCAAGTAAATTGATTTTAAAGAATCATAACTCCCTTCTCACATGTTCATTGAAATCTCATAAGTGACACTAGTTGTTGTAATTTATCATATAGCAGATAGCACTTCCATTAACCTGAGGTATAAGATCTCCTTCCACCTGAGTACTGCTTTGGTCATGTTTTAAAAGTCTGTTCCCTTTGGGATGCTTCACTTTCAGGTGACTTATTGTGTTGTTTTTTCCTGCTGTTATGCCCTTTCTTCCATTCCGTGTACTAGCTGTAAAGTTTAATTTAGTTTGTGCTGGTGCTTCACCAAACAGGACTACAAATAAATTGCATTTGATGACAAATTGGTGTTGCAGTGTTGGGAGCAGAGCAAGAGTACATAGAAGAAGCAAGGCACTGAACTGGGGTTGTAGAAGAGATTGTATTTTAGACTGTAAGTGCTTTGAGGTAGGAATTGTATATTCCTTTGTGTTCGAACAGTATCAGCATATTGTGGGTGTTACAGGAACACAGTGATATGGATTGTGGGATGGACTGACAAGCCTTTGTGATGGTTGTTTTTTTTTGTTTTTGTTTTTTTAAAATCTCTTTAAATAAGCTGGGCCAAACATTACCAGTGTTCTAGGTACACAGATAACAAGCTGATATTATTCAGTATATGTGCAACTCCTTTTTCAGAATTGCAGAATTTCCTCTTTGAATCTTTCTTTGAGGCATGCAGCACTTGAATAAGATTACAGCCACTTTGGTGCACTAAAGTAAATGGCAAATGTTGCCTTTTAAAACATTTTCTCCTATGCAATCTTCTGTCACTTTGTGATAATCTTTGAAGTAGCTATGCAATGTGTATAGCATGCTGAAAAATGATGTGACAGTCCTTGACAACTGATGAACTGGCATGCTGGAGAAATAAAGCGATCTAAGTGCTAATACCAGGTTCAGTTTATTTGTATTTGATACTAAGAGCTCACTTTTCTTTCTGGGTATGAAGAAACTGAACTGCTTCTTGCCAAACCACGCAACTGTATTGGGAAAAGCTTTATTGTAACCAAATAATAATCTTTTATTTTCAGTCACCCTTTGAACTGGATAAAGTTTGTAGTTCAAACTGGAGACTGAAGACTTACAAGTTGCAAATGTGGAGGACGCTAACTGTCTCTTCATCTGCTATCACTAAAGACCAAATACGGAGTTGTGATAGCTAAAGTGCTTAAACTGTGTTGCTAATGTACAATTTATTTCTCCAACTTCCTTTGTCCTATACCAGTTTAAACAAAATGGTTTTTACTCCCTTTTGTCACTAGGTAGAAACTGGGGTACTCCATAAATAATGAAGTATAATAATACAATTAGGCTGGGAATTTGAAAGGAGCTGAGGGAGGTTTCAAAGAGGTTGTTTACACTGGAAATTATTTTGTTTGTGGCTGACTGCTCAGCCAGATGTAATGAGGAATGTCAGGTTTGCTGATGTAGAAATCACTAACTGGAGTTCCATTAACATACTGTAGCAATCAGCTGTCATACATTTTTTCCACCTTTAGTCAAGAGAGAGAATTGCTTTCTGCCTGGATGTATCTGTGTATTCTGATAAATGCATCTGGTAAACGGCTGTGGTAAAAGGCTGTTGATAAACAGCCCACACATTTCCTAAACATGAGTACTACCATGAAGTCCCACTTGTTTTGAATAGTATAGGAAGCTTTTAGAGAAGCCTTATTTATTAGTTTTATTTCTCGAGTATTAGTTTTATACTCCGACTAGCCCCAACATCCCAGGCTGAATGTCTGGAGTAGGTGCATAGAGGGGTTTGTTATACTTACTTACCTGTACTACTTGGTGGACTGAGTGCTAGTGAGAGAGCCATTAATTATAAGTAAGGCTATGTTTTAGTCACAGGTATTTTTAGTAAAAGTCGGACAGGTCAGGGACAGTACACACACATTCACAGCCTGTGACCCGTCCATGATTTTTCTGAAAAATACTAGTGAATAAAACTGGAGGGTAGGAAGGGGGGTTGCCTGGGGGCCCGCAGGTGCTGCGGGAGGGCGGCCCGGATGCTTGGGACGGAGAGGGGGGCGGCGCAGCCCAGGACCCTTGCTGGTGCTGGGGGCACGTGGCCCAGGACCTTCGCTGGTGCTGGACAGTAGAAACTGCAAAAGTCAATGAAAGTCACAGGATCCATGACTTCCGTGACAAACTCACAGCCTTAAATATAGGGGAATGACATCCATGCTGTAAATGTTTCCTTTAAATCCGGAGAGAGCAACTGCTAGAGCTACTTAGTTTCTGCTCAGCCATGTGAGTTTAATGTGGAATAAATGCTCCATTCCAAGTAATTCACACATGCGCTATACTACAGACTTCTTATAAAGTGCACAGAAATAAGACCTGACCTCTATCAGGAGGGGCTCAGTCCTGCAGCCTTTATTCATGAAAGTAGTCTCTACTTCACAGGTAGTCTCCTTCAAGGCAATCGGACTAATCCATGTGAATAAAGGCCACACAGCCTAACATTAGTTTAAACGTTACTCAGCAAGTGAGGACCAAAGGGAGAGACAGAAGAAGGGAGAATGATAGTCCGGACAAGACTGGGTGGGAGAGTCTCTTCCCAGGACAGAAGCGCTGTAATCACAGTGTTGGGAGGGGCTACGGTGGAGAATGTTAGCCGAAACAACCAAAGCATTGTCATAGGATTACAACAGAGTCAGTGTCTGAGTAATTGCTTTTCTACCTTTTGTGTAGCAAAGGGGACATGTGACGGAAAAACAGCTTCAGCTGAAATCTATAGCAATTTCTGTTCTGTACTGTTACTGGCAGTACCCGCTTTCTGGGAAAGGAACTTTGACAAACAAGGCTAAAGAGGTTCATACACAATCATTCTGTAGTTGAAATCTAATTTAAAAAAATGCTTTGTAGCTTCTCAGCAGTTCATTGATATATACACAGCAGAAGAGGCACCAAGAGGACAGGAACTGAATAGGTTTGAGTGGCTTCTCTTGGAGAGGTTTTACTCTGCAGCCAGCAATAGCTTACCATTAGCTTTCAAAAAAAAAATTCATTTTTAACTGATTCTCTAATCAGCACTCTTGGGGTATGTCTACATGACTGCCCTCCCTCCCCCAAAATACCCCCAAACAAAACCCTATCAACATGGCAGTGCATCTTAGAGTCTGGGTTCGCATTACAGTACTAAGAATAGCTGAGTAGATGTTTTGGGCTTGGGCTCGGAAACCCACCCCTTTCCTTGGCCTTCAGAGCCTGAGCCTGAACATCTACATGGCTCTGTTTAGCACCCAGGGTATTTTGCTGTGGAGATATATATGGGACTGTGGTAGGTGTTTACCAACTATGCAAACTGTTCTACCCTCCCCATTTTCCAGTACAATACTACAGCAAAGGACTGTGATCCTTGTATATTATATGGCATTGAGTACTCCCATTACCATCAATGAAGATCTTTTGTTACTCAAGTCAGAGCTTGAAAACCTAGTCACACATACCCAGGATGTCAGGTTTCAGAGTAGCAGCCGTGTTAGTCTGTATTCGCAAAAAGAAAAGGAGTACTTGTGGCACCTTAGAGACTAACCAATTTATTTGAGCATAAGCTTTCGTGAGCTACAGCTCACTTCATCAGATGCATACCCAGGATGTATTTATATTGGCAGTCCAAATGAATGACTCCTCTCTGTAAAGCTGCTGCATCCTTTCTTAGGAGAGGAGGAAGCTGGGGAATTATTGCCCCAGGTGCTGCTGATCCTCTCTTTAGAAAACAAAGGGGTTGCAAGGAGTGAGGAACACAAAGGGTGCTGATGGGTTGAGTATATGGAGGTTGTAGGAGAGATCAAGCAGATAAATAACAGGAGAAATAGGAGATTGGGTGGGTGTTATGGGGAAGGGAAGGATGAGGCAGAAAACAGTGTGGGGAAATACCAAAAGATCTGTCAGGAAAATACCAAAAGGTCTGTCAGGACGAAAGCGGAAATACCCTGATGATGCTGCAGGTAAGAATGCATGATAGTATTAGCATTGTTCTTTTTAAAAAAGAAAATGAGTGGTATGAAGTGAGGAAGGAAAAGGAGTTATAAAAAAAGCAGTGGAGACCTTGTAGCACGTATTGAATAAAAAGCTGACAGTGTGCTTAAATATAGTAGAGTGCACAATAAGCAGTACAAGGTCCTCTTTTATAAATTACAGTGGACGTAGTTTTGAGAGAAAGGTAGCATGGGTATTTTTTCCTCATGGTTAGTGTACTTAGTCCTAAACTTACAGTTCTGGCATATGAACCCTAATTACAAATTTAATTTAGCCTTTATCACAGAATGAGTTTGATGGTCCTGTCCTCCTGCATTGAAGAGATTTATTATGCTTTAAACACTAAGTTGAAATGGAAGTGTTTTAAGAACTTTGTGCTGACTAGGTTTTTATTGCAGTTACAATATAAGTGATACATCGTGGAAGTTAATGTGTCAAGATGAGAGTGATATTGTTTTGGAAATTCATTATAAAGAATCTACTAAAACCTAAAGATTAGTAAAGAAATTCTGGTAGGAAATCCATGTAAAACATTGAGTTTTACAATAGGTTTTGGCCTTTGATCAATTTCATTTTAAATGTCCTCTAAAACATTTTTAAAAGGGTTGGGAGGGGAGTAAATAAATGAACTAGAGCCTAAGGCATTACTAAGTCTGTCAAAATAAAGTTCTTTGTGCTGTGGAAGTCTTCAGCGTTAGTTTTTCAGAGGAATGCCATACAAGATACTAGTACCAAAGACACTATGGCCAAAACTTTCAAACTTGGGTGCCTGTAGATTCATATATTTAAGAGCAGAAGGAACCAGTAGATTATTTAATCTGACCTCCTATATGCTATAGAACTTTACCCAATAATGCCTGCATTGAGCCCAATAACTTGTTTGACCTAAAGCATATTGTCCAGAAAGGTATCCAGTCTTGATTTGAAGATTTTAAAAAATGGAGAATTTACCACTTACATTGGTGTTTTCTTCCTGTGGTTAGTCAGCCTCACTATTCTACATTTGGCCTGAATTTCTCATTTGAATTTCTGCCTTGAATTTCCAGTGATCCGTTCTTGTTACACCTTTCTCTGCTAGGTTAAAGAGCTCTTTAGTCCCTGATATTTTCTCCCTGTGAAGGTACTTGTACACTAGTAGGCATCTAAATCTTTATTTTGTCACCTAAATAAATGGCTTCATTTTCAAAAAGTGTTGAGCACCTGCAACTTTCGTGTACCTCAGTGGGAGCTTCACATGCTCAATGCCTTTTGAAAATTAGGTCATTCATTTACGTGCCTAATTTAACACACACACACACAGACTCTCTCTCTCTCTCTCGTAAAAGTTACCTTCTGTTATGTAGGTTAACTTTTTCCTTTTGCTTTAGTGTTCCTAGGATACCTTGGGCCTTTGCCATGACTGAAGTATGTGGTGTGATTCTCTGCTATATTTGGCTCCTGGTTCTCCTCCTTCACAGACACAGGTATAGTACTTTCAATTAAAAGAACTCTTAATTCAGAAACATCTGTTGGCAACCTAATAAAGATTGAATGTGACTGGAATCCATCATAATAACTATAGCCAAGACTTACCTGTAAACACGATTGTTATTTACGTCATTAAGATGGCACGATGAAGCCAAGGTACAATTCTTCCTTCCACCTACCATAAAGAATTCCTTTGTTTCCTTTATTTGTTCCTTGAGGATACCACTATTTTGTGCTACTTTACTTCCATTGGAGCCGGTTGTTGCCACTTTGTTTTGCAATGTTGGTTGAACTGGGATCCCATGAAAACCAATCTTTTATATCTCTTCCCCACCCCACCCTCTGAATGTCCACCATTTCTAAATGACCAGCCTGTTTATAGGAACTGGGTGTATATGTCCCCAGACTGGGAGATGAGCGACATGTGTCGCACATGGCTGGCTAGCTCCACCCTTGGGGGAAGTGTGAACATTTCTTCCAATCGTTGTAGTCTCTTTAGTCCAGGGATTCCAGTGTGTCCTCTTGCAGGGCTTCCTTTAGAAGCTTCTAAACTACTTCTCTGAATGACTAGCTAATAGCAACTTAGTTCTAATGAGAGAACCAAGAAAAATATTTTTACACACCTTACACTTTAGAATAAACAATATCTTTGTAGTTGGGTCAGACTTGACAATTTGAGTTGACTTTTATTCTCTTCTAGAGAAGCATAACATTAACCACTGCCCAAGGCAGACAAAAACCACCTTTGCTCCTTTTTGGATCATGAGCAGGACAAAGGAATCATTGACTTGCCTGTCTTAAGTAGATCAATATTAAATGATCGTAAATTTGGGAGGGTCAAACTAATTTTAGTATTGCTGCATTTTGTGTTAGTGCTTTGAAACATTTCATCTCAACACTACAGAGTTAACTGGACAGCTTGTGGCTGAAGGACCTGTGTAGGACCTCATTTAAGTTTGTAGCTCCAAAGGAGATACATTTGTTGTTCTAAGCGCGCTTGTATACAACATACGCATTGTCCCTTCGCTGAATAGGAGATAGAGTATGTCCCCTCAGTCTGAGGGGAAAACCCCAAGAGCATAGCAGACATGGATGAAGAATCATGGGGTTTTTTATATGCTTGTGAAATGAGGGCTGGCATTCCTGAGACTTGACTTTTGTCACTTTATTATGGACAAATTGTGAATGTGAATACTAAATTCAGAGACATGTTGGCTTCTGAACCCCTGTATGCAGTGATCTGAATATCTTTCAGTCAGACTTTCACTATGACACACAATTTCTTTAAAAATGTCAGTATTTCATTAAGTTGCCAGTACATAAAACAGCATTGCTATTTGAAAGAAAGATAAAAATTAGAAATAAAACTTAATACGGTGTTAAACTAAATTGTTGTAGTTCAAGAAATCCCTGTCCCATTAAAAATCATGCCATGGGGATAAGTTAGAGAAGAATGCTGTAAATCTCTCATAATTCTCTTTAATTTTCATAACCAAATGCACAAGAATTCAAATACTTTTGCACAACTCTTTCATCCCTTTTTGTTTTCCCAGGTCTATACTCTTACGCAGACTGTGTAGCTTAATGGGGACAGTGTTCTTGTTGCGTTGCTTTACAATGTTTGTTACATCACTCTCTGTGCCAGGCCAGCATCTGCAGTGTTCCGGAAAGGTAAAGGAATATTCTTAAATGTTTGTTTTCTGCTGATTTTGGTTTAACCGTCTCATTCAGATGAAAATTATTGTGATAGGGATAGTCATATTGTACGCATATATGTAGTTAGCTGCAAACTTCTGCTTGTTAAATACCGACTCTCTCATGTGCAAAGGCATCACATCAAGGATCATGAAGTTGATAGTTACTTATATAACGTTTTTGTTAGAAAGCAGCTAAAATATTGCATTCGTTTTGGGGCTTTCAGGGTAGTACTCTATGTAAACAAGAGAGGATTAATCAGAGGAACACATATGAGTGACTGAACGGGATGATTTATGAGGAATGACTGAAAATTAAATATTTATACCTAATCTAGCCTGCTAAAATGAGACACAGCTGCCAAGTATTTGAAGGATGGAAACACTACAGAGAGAGAAGGCTTGTGTAGGGCATAAGACTATAGCTAGAAATAAAGGGATGAACTTATGAAAAATGTTTAGGCTGAATAGCAGGAAAATCTTTTGGACTGACTCACTAGGCTGTGGATTAAATCCTCAAGAGAATGTGTGGAAGCTCCATTATGTGAATCACTTATAGCTATGGATTAAATAAACCACAGAATTTAGAGAAAGTACTTATCAGAGGTACTTTGTATACCTCTATAATTATAGTTACAGATCCCAGTTATGCCAAAATAGAATCCATGGGCTGTTCTGATGATCTGTATTTGCAGTAAAAGTTAAAAATGGAAACTGGGAATGTGAGTGTGAATTAAATATACATAGTGCTAGGCAGCAACTGAGTTTCTCTTAGATATGTTTGGACAATAGTAAAAACTATTCTTAGCAATGGCTTTTAAATATTAATGTTGCTGTTTTAATTTTAGTTGTATGGCAACGTGTGGGCAAAACTTCAGCGAGCATTTGCCATATGGAGTGGTTTTGGAATGACGCTCACTGGAGTACATACATGTGGAGACTACATGTTCAGTGGCCATACTGTTGTCCTGACTATGCTGAACTTCTTTGTCACTGAATGTAAGTACACAATACCAGTGTCCAGACATGTGCGAGTATTATGAAGACGTGACAATGACTGTAATTAAGGGTGCACGCGGCATACTCCCTCCCTATTTTTATTTCTTCTGTTCTCAAAATCTCCTCCTTTTATGACTGAAAGCTTTCATTATTAGTGTTGAGCTGGAGATGGAAGTTACTTAAAAAGAACAAAGTCCCTGAGTATTTTGACCAATCACTGTAGAATCTAGGTGTCCTAAAAGATTAGCATGGAATGTGCTTGATAAGATTTGCGTACAGTCACTCAAGCATCTAAAGTACCTAGCACATTTTGGGTGCTATAAATGAAAAAAAAATCTGCAGTGAGATAATTAATGAAGGATCTGACCTGTAATAACTGGAAAGTGAAGGGTAAGCGCTTTTCAGAATGCACCTAGCTGCTTTTCAAGGTCCCCAAACAGTCTTCTTACCAGGCTTCCTGCCCTCCTTTTAAAAGTGCTTATGGGTGGAGCCTGAGCAGTTCTAGGACATACATTCCATACGGGAACTGATGAAATGGATTTTCTGAGCACCTTCGGGCTCAGAAGCAATTCAGTGGGGTTTTGGTAACCTCAGCCCAAAAGGCAACTTTCTAAAAAGATTTTAACAAATGAAGATTGGGGATGGAAAATGGAAGTGCCATATCAGTTTCAACTACATTGTCACTGCCATGTTTTTAAAATCGTCTTAATTTAAGACGGTCTTAAATGAACTAAACAGAGATGTGAGTTTGCTGTTCAAGTTACTTTCTTGTACAGCAGTGATCTTCCATTCTTCAACTGTCCGTACCCATGCTCATATTTTCCCTTTCTCTAGTACTTTCCTCACTTCTCAATTTTATTTTAGAAGTCTTCTTCACATTGCGTTATCCTTATCTGATCCCCGCTCCCTTTTTTTGTTTCACCCTCTTTCCTGCACTGTCTTTTCTTGCATCTCTGCTCTGTGTGCACCAGCAGTAGATTGGAATTGACTAGAATCCTGATCTCTAAAGCAGTGGCATTCTCTCAGTGATTGGGATTCTAGTTAAATTTATTGTGCTGCTAAGACGCACAGATTGAGCGGAAAGGCAGTGGAGAGCAACTTCAGAGTCAGAGGTGAATAAGGGCATATTGAGAAACAGCCTGGCAGGTACATGGCCATGATTCTGTTCTATTACAAAGGGTGTATGAATAGCAACCCTCCAACTGTGGACCAGTATCTCTTGGCATTTTCTTAATGCACTGTTTTGAAAGAGTATACTGTACATCTAGCTATATGACTCTGCCTTATGCTGTGGGACACCTTTCAGTGATATTTCTCACTCTCTTCAGTTTAGCTGCATCTGTATTAAACCTTTAAATTAGAATAAAGTTTAGAATAGGCTAATCAAACTCTCTGCACATGACTATTAAAATAATGTAATATACAGGTAAAAGGCACATTATTCGTGTTTCAGAGAACAGCCGTGTTAGTCTGTATTTGCAAAAAGAAAAGGAGTACTTGTGGCACCTTAGAGACTAACCAATCTATTTGAGCATAAGCTTTCGTGAGCTACAACTCACTTCATCGGATGCATACCGTGGAAAGTTTAGAAGATCTTATATACACACAAAGCATGAAAAAATACCTCCTCCCACCCCACTCTCCTGCTGGTAATAGCTTATCTAAAGTGATCACTCTCCTTACAATGTGTATGATAATCAAGGTGGGCCATTTCCAGCACAAATCCAGGGTTTAACAAGAACGTCTGGGGGTGGGGGTAGGAAAAAACAAGGGGAAATAGGCTACCTTGCATAATGACTAAGCCACTCCCAGTCTCTATTCAAGCCTAAGTTAATTGTGTCCAATTTGCAAATGAATTCCAATTCAGCAGTTTCTCGCTGGAGTCTGGATTTGAAGTTTTTTTTGTTGTAAAATAGCGACTTTCATGTCTGTAATCGCGTGACCAGAGAGATTGAAGTGTTCTCCGACTGGTTTATGAATGTTATAATTCTTGACATCTGATTTGTGTCCATTTACTCTTTTACGTAGAGACTGTTCAGTTTGACCAATGTACATGGCAGAGGGGCATTGCTGGCACATGATGGCATATATCACATTGGTGGATGTGCAGGTGAATGAGCCTCTGATAGTGTGGCTGATGTGATTAGGCCCTGTGATGGTGTCCCCTAAATAGATATGTGGGCACAGTTGGCCCAACTTGATTATCATACACATTGTAAGGAGAGTGATCACTTTAGATAAGCTATTACCAGCAGGAGAGTGGGGTGGGAGGAGGTATTTTTTCATGCTTTGTGTGTATATAAAATCTTCTAAACTTTCCACGGTATGCGTCCGATGAAGTGAGCTGTAGCTCACGAAAGCTTATGCTCAAATAAATTGGTTAGTCTCTAAGGTGCCACAAGTACTCCTTTTCATTATTCGTGTTAAAGACCTATAAAGAGGATTGATAAAAGATACCCAAGTGAGTTGTAAAGAAAATTTTAAAGTAGTTAAAAATACTTCGGTATCTCAGTACCTCCAGGGTGAGTAAAAAGTATTAACCCTTGTCTACAACTAAAATGCTACTTGTTCAAGGGAGAACGAGACTATAGCTCTCTAGACCCGCGGTCGGCAACCTTTTAGAAGTGGTGTGCCGAGTCTTCATTTATTCACTTCAATTTAAGGTTTCACATGCCAATAATACATTTTAATATTTTTTAGAAGGCTATAAGTCTATATATTATATAACTAAACTATTGTATGTAAACAAGGTTTTCAAAATGTTTAAGAAGCTTCATTTAAAATTAAATTAAAATACTGATCTTACACCGCCAGCACGCTCAGCCCGCTGCTGGTCTAGGGGTCTGTTCGCTGGCTCCTGCCAGCCAGGGTCCTGGCTGCCGGCCATGTTCAACCCTGCTGCCAGTCTGGGGTCCCGACCCTGTCCACATAGAGTGGGTACCTACCTTCTCCCTGGTTCTAGCCATTCTCTTCCTCTCTCTGCACTGAGATGAGGGTGGGAGTGCGCTGAGTACAGGGCTGGGGGTGAAGGAGCAGGTTGGGGTGTAGGGTCTGGCCAGGAGCTAGAATGAGGGAGGGGGCTCAGGGTTGGGGCAGGAGGTTTGGGTGTGGAGCGCTTACCTGGGCAGCTCCAATTTGGTGTGAGTGGGTGCAGGTGGGAATGTGGGTGTGTGTGTGTGTGCAGGAGCTCCTGTTTGATGCTCAGGGTGGGGGGTGCAAAAGTCAGGGCATGAGGTGTGGGGGGCTGGGGTGTGTGTGAGGGGGGTGCAGGGGTCAGGGCAGAGGGCTGGGGGTGTGGGCTGGGGTTGTGGGGGTGCACCCAGCCCCCCTGAGCAGCTCACGGCAGGGGGATGGAGGGGATATGCCAATTCCACCCCCTTCCCCAAGGTCCCCGGAGCAGAGAGCGCGAGCAAGCTGCGCTCTGCTTTTCCCTCTCCCCCTCTGTAGCAAGGGCCATCAGCTGATCGGCTGCAGGGAGGGAGAGAAGGAGGGGCAGGAACCCAGCACGTCGGGGGAAAAGAGGCGCGGGGAAAGGGGAAGCTTGCCTGCCCTGCAAGGAGTGGGCGGGGGATGGAGAAGAGTGGGCCGGGCGGGATTTTTAGTGGCACGCTGCTTTCTGCCGGGGTCCCCGGTAGACAGCAGCGTGCCATTAAAAATTGGCTCGCGTGCCGTCGGTTGCCGACCCCTGCTCTAGACTATACTATGGTGCTTAGCTATCACTTTGGTAGGCACTTTACAAATACCTCAGGAGGGTAGAAGATCTTTGTAATGGGTACAACAGAATACGAACACTCAGATGGACTTGAATAAATGATACTGTAAAAATTCATACAGGATTTGTATTGTATGCATGTCCCACAACTGCCTCTCTAAATGAAATAGCTGTAATCTCTTATCTTGTGGTTCTAAAAGGGTTCACTGTGGCATAATTGGACATGGATGCTTTATTTTTACTGAATAGCAGAGCGATAAGCTTCTTATGGTGTTAACCTGAGTCTATTACTTAGAAAATAAAACTTTGCAAAGATACAAGCTTTTTGACAGATCTTCACAATACTTGATGCTGATATTAATTATCAGTCACTTTATAAGGTAATGTTAATAATTCAAAATGTGATTTATTATTTTTAATGCATTAAACAGTAAATGAAGAGAGCTAGCTTGACTAGGAATTGTAGTTAAATTACTTCAAAATCAGTCACACGTGCACCTGGAAACGTCTTTCTCTTAAAGAAAAGTGTGCCAGACCTACCTATATTCTGTATAGTTGCCACTGGAGAAGGTATTCTGTTTGTAGTCATGCCATATGTTACTGTGTAATAGAGCTCTGCAGCGGGACTGGGATCCTGCGGGACCCGCTGCCATAATGACAGGGGCGGGAGTAAAGAATAGCCCTGCACAGGGCTCTGCTGTGTAATATTTCTATGTACTGTTAAACAGATGCTACCCTTCTCCCCTGGGGTCGTTGAACTTCAATGATGGGTGAAGTGATTTATATTCATAATTCTTAATGAAGTATTCTGATTGAATTAATTGGGCTGTGTATATGAGCACCAGATCAGGCCCCTAATTTGTTCAGTCCTTTGGATTGCTGTGTAAATGTAAGATCGTGTTAGGTGTCTCATGGGAGTGGGTGTAGTAAACTTGCTAAGAACCTTGGTTTGTGAAACAGTCTAGGTGAATCTTTTAACGTGCTACTTTGTCCTTTGCTAGATACACCAAGAAGCTGGAACTTCTTGCATACTTTATCTTGGGTCCTGAATCTCTTTGGAATCTTCTTCATTTTGGCTGCACATGAACATTACTCTATAGATGTCTTCATTGCCTTCTACATCACCACAAGACTCTTTTTGTACTACCACACATTGGCTAATACCAGAGCATATCAGCAGAGTAGGAGAGCGAGAATCTGGTTTCCAATGTTTTCTTTTTTCGAATGCAATGTTAATGGTACAGTTCCGAATGAGTATTGCTGGCCCTTTTCAAAACCCACAATAATGAGAAGGTTAATTGGATGAAGAGTACCTAGTTTAATCTAAGTTAGTCTGAAGTATCCGTAACAAATCTTTACAGAACTAGCTGGAAAAATAAGAAAATAACTAACTGTTTCCATCCCTGTGGTCTCCTCATGCCCTGCTTCTTAGAGTCTCCGTCACAAAGTTGGGATTTCCATACTTCACAAGGTAGTAGAAGAAAGTAACGCTAGGAGGCTAGCTAAAGGCTGCCCATAGATCATTATGAATCTGAAATAGAGAAGTCATTATTTCCATTGGCATGATTCTACAAAAATGCTTTAGGGTAGAGAATAACTTACACTTTTTTAATGTGTGCTTTACCTGACTTGCTGTTTTGAGGTCCAGATGATCTCTGGCTCTTGAATGTTTGCCTGTACAAATAATACTAAGTACTAATTTGTTAGCCACTGACTTTCTTTTAAAAATAATATTAAATATAACTTTTTCCGTTGAGGCGTGTACACTTACAAAATGAGATTCTGAAGAGTAGCTTGTCAGAATAAGGAAGGCATTTTTGCTCTTTGCTAAACGGTTTCCCAGAAAACTTAAATAAGAATTCTGAAAAAGGTATAATAGAAATGTGTTCTGTATATATACAGAATGCCAAAAATGAAACCGCCTGCTTTTTTGATTTGGGGGTTGTCAGGTATTAAGATGGTGTTTTGAACAGGACTTATTTGGTCAGAGTAAACAGTTTATGCCATTGTCCAACTACTTGGACGGTTCCTTGTTGCATTTCAACAAATGGGTTAGAAATAAAAGCTACATCTGTTGAAAATGAGGTTGAGGTAGCTTTAGTGTTTTAGAGTCACATAGTTACTCTCTCTTCTGTAGGGTTTATCAAACACTTTGCCTAAACCTGTGCATGCTTTTTATGAGCAACTCTTTAACCACTAGAAGAATAGAACCGTTAAATTTATGTAGTGCCTCATAAATAGATGGGGAAATGCATGTAGTGACTTTTTTTTTTCCTTCAGGAAAAGTTTTAAAGCAAGTTTCAGAAATAGTGCTATGCTGATCATCTTTTTTTTTAATTACATTTTTTTGTCCCAATCCATCTGGAATCAGCAAACATTGAACATATTTGAATGCCTAAGAGTTTTTTTGACAAACTCTATATACAGTAAATGCTTTTATACTTAGTCTTAGCAATTATGAAAATAGACTGGTTGTTAGAAATAAGCTGCTTGTTTATGACCCTAGGAGTTAGTGTCTTAAGCGGTTTAACTTCTGTGATAAGGATCACTTTTTTGAGAGATCCTGATTTTGCTTGGAAAGACCTAATGATTAGAACTGGAGCCTGAAGTAGTGTGTGCAAGCAAGGCACAAACCTGTTAGTGATCTTACAAACCGTTATCCATATATTTTTGTGTGCAAGAAGGTAGCTTTAACTGTAGTTACTCAGATTTAGTGGGGAATGGTAGTTAACTTGAGAGTTGTGAATTGCAACAAATATATAAATGTTAGTGATTCATGCTAATTCACTATCACATAATTTCAGAATGGCTAGCGTGTGAGAAGAGGTATCACATAATTTCAGAATGGCTAGCGTGTGAGAAGAGGTAGTGCAATGTCAGCCTCGAAAAATTTCCATGACATTTTGCCATCCTGATACAAACAGTTCAGTCCCACTTTACAGTGACTATAGGAAAACTGCAATACATAGTGTACTTGCCTGTCAACAACAGCAAATTTACCCAGTCAAGTAGAATTTTGCAAGACTGAGTTAGGTATTTGAAGCTCCACGATCTAGTATGGTCTCCCATCTCTACATTTATGGGCCTTAACAAAGCTACTTTAAACTTGGAATTACAAGCAGTAATTAATGAGAGAATATATTACCCACTCTTCATAATGTTTCTTTTAAAAGTTTGCAAGTTTATTTAGTTCCTGTTCCTGGGAGGAATTCCATATCCCAGAGTATCTGTACAAATGCAGGCGCACACCTAGTGTAACTTACATTGCTCTGCAGACTTTGATATCTGTAACATTCCTGTTCTTTAACAAACCTGCTGCTAATGGTAAATCATCCAAACCTGCTGAGTGCTCCCAGCACCTAAAGTAAGGAAATGCACTGACACTTTGCAAAACAGAATCTTTAGTCTCCAAGGACTTATGTTTTTATGATAAACGATCCTTGTTTGCTGCCCTTGCCTTGCTGATAGGAAGAGGCAATCTGAACATTCCTCTCCGGCACTCTGGAATAAAACATCCCCACTTATGGACACACACTTGCTTCTGCAGCAGCCAATAATTCATTGGGCCATTGTTTAACAGTGTTATTTCTTTAACACTTTAATGTGTGTCCAAAATGTGTAGAGATGTATATTCTTTGAGGTTTTTGGAGCCTGAAGTAGTGATACTTCAGGGGGAAAAAGGAATTAAAAATGCAACTACATTTGCAAAGCCGTTGACTCTGAAAGTAACTCCAGACTGCAGACTTCTGTGTCTGAATTGTAGAATTCTTCTTCAGTCTTTTATTTACTCATGTCTAGTAAAGAAAAAAGTTCTATAACTTATCACAAAAGTGTTTACATAAACTAAAATGACATCTCAAGATTTTTATGTGTAATACTTCAAGTTCAAATCTTTGTTTTTGAAGCCTAAACATTCTTGGGTTTTCATTTTGCCTCCAGCTTTATTTATTTCTCAAGTGCTGTTTACATCTAAAGTATTGACAAGTCAGTATTGCTGTTTGTTTTTTTTAATTTGTTTTGAAAATAGGATATTTGCTATCTACACCATTGCTTTATGTATTCACACACTGATCCTCTTGCTGCTAAGAATCTGTTTCCAATATTTGTAACATGCAGGATTCATTTCCTGAGAACTGGGCAGGGTGTTAAGACCGTCAGTCCTTCTGTTTCTTGGAGGTTAGGCCTATCTGCCAATAGACACAAAGGCAGTAGCTCATAACGATTTTCTGACTATAAAGAGAACAAAACATTTCAGGTGCTTTTATTCAGCATTTCAAAACAAGAGTTGGCCCTTAAAGTAAAACTGGCAACTTGATTGAAATGAATTGGTCGGGGGGGGGAGTCTAAAGTCAAGTGAGGTACAGAATTTTTTAAATGTTTTATACAGGTTTTTCTGCTCCTCTGCTGTTAACAAGTCTTGGTGTTTGTTCTTGCAGCAGAAAGGGTGGGCCTGAATAATGCTAAACATGATCAAGCTTGCTGTGCCTCCCCTTTTTATGACCACACACACCTGCCTGCTGCCTCTTCTATTTCATCTTATCTGCAGCTCTTTCTGGCAGATGTCCTGTTGCAGAGACTGGGGTAGAACGGTACATGAGTTCCCCCTCAAAACAGGACATGTGTGATGTCATCAGGTTAGTGCTTTATACAGGAAGTGCAAATGATGAACAAACCCATGAAACGGACTTTCAAACACACAAAGTAAATAAACTGCATCAAATAGAGAAACATTTCTCTAATCTTTCGGTTACAAGGAATACCTGAGATTATTGGAACAATAGGGTCAGATTTACAAATGGAAGTCATTTTTCCCCCAAAACTGATTGTCCCTTTTTAACTTGGCTGAAATAGTTGAGGTATTGAGGGACTCTGTGGCTTAATACTTGAGACAAAAGTGTAAATTCAGGCTTAGATTTTTGGCGTATATAGTGAAGGTGACACGCAAAGGGGAAAGTGCCCTTTCTCGGTCTCGTGACATAAGAAGGCTGAAAGCTATGTGCAATTTTTGTGTGTTCAAAATATCAGGTCTTGATTCTTTTTGCTGGAGGAGTCCTTGGAGGACTGGAAAATTACTGGAATTGTGACACTACCAGAGAATGAACCCGAATAAAAGAAAACAAGTACTTTTTAAAACCGTTTAATGCAAACTCCTGATAAAGACTTTGGAGAGCATCTTTTTTTCAAAGATTCAACACCTCTGCTTTTCAGCTGAGGACTCAAAGCTTCCACTCCACTTCTCTATTCCTTTTTCGGAGTCCTCCAGCAAAAACAGGACAACTCAATAGTTCTGATATTTCTAAGATAATCAAATCAGCAGAAACATTTTAATAAGCCCCCAAGTCCTCAGACTTTCAGGACTGACTTAGAGACAGATCTTGCAAGATGTTAAGCACACAGCTTGATCTAGCAAAGCACATGCTTCACTTTTTAAGCACATGAGTAGACCCATTAGCTTCAGTGAGATTACTCATGCTTCAAGTGCTTCCCTGGGTCTGGACCGGTGTGCTCAGCACCATCTAGAACCGATCCCTTATATTATAAATAAGTGGGCACATGATTTTGTTTTCTATTTTAGGTCCCATTAAATCTCCATGCACCATATGGAAAAGATATTGTACTGGAACATGTAAGATAAATGAATGTTAGAAGTAAAGTCACTTCTGTAGAGATGACATCAAATCTAGGAACATTGCTATTAGTGGTTTGATGTTATAAGAAGCAGGGCTCAGTGAAAATGAGCTGGCAAGCCCAACTGCCAGTGCTAATATGGTAAACAAAACCTTTTTACAAGTTTCTAACCCCAAAAGCCCCAAAACTTGGCTATTTTATAAATGTGTAGATCAAGAATTGCTACACTGAACAGTTTTCCCATTTGGCTAACTGTATTTTTTTTCATATGGTGCAAAAAAGAACAACACATGGGGGAATGGTATTAGTGGAATTTACTGTGATGTTGAACAAAAATCAATATTTAAAACAGCATTCCTAAAGTCTGCATAACTTTTTATTAGAACAGCAGTATTAAGTACTTATACACTACAGTGCTACACTGTTTCATTACTCGTTGCACAGTTTCTTATTAATACAATAAAATCAAGTTACTTGGAATTGTCTGAGTTTTATGGAAGTCCTTTTGTAGACTTCAAGTACCACATAATAAAAGTAATGAATAATTTAGTCATTTGTCCTTCCTGTATTGTTTTTTCTATTTGAGAAGATTAAAAGATATTTTTATCAAGAAGGATTTTGCCATAATTTATGTTGCTTTATTAAAAACAATTTAGGATTCTTTAAAAGAAAGTTCACCCATGGTAATTATAAAGCCAGCATGGCTTTGTAGGGTTTGCAGTCTGTAATTAGTAGATAGCCCAACAATGAACTAACGTGAACTGTGAATTACCTCGCCTGCCTAGAGGCCTTCTTGTGTCAAGGATTAATTGGTAGACCACTAATAATCCATATATATGTATTTTTCTGATGTTCCTTTGAGAGATGGAGAGATTTTTGAAAGATTGTCTGATTTTTATGATTTGATTGAAACAGTATTATGTTGTGGGCAAAGTTGACGTGGAATTAACCTACAAAATAGTTCTCCTTCATTGTAAACGTCTGAACACTAAAAGGCACAGTACTATATTAAACCTGTTTTCAGTCATCCGTTTTGTAGTTTTTGGTAATGCTCATAGCTTGAGCCACAAGTGCGTTACAGTGAACGGAATGTACATAGTTTTACGCGATAAACATTTTCAGAACAGAATTGTGGTAGTTGTGTAAGAATTTAAAGTAACTTAAAAAGTGGAGCGTATTGAATTCCTGTATTAACCCCATGATTTAAGTAGTGACTTTACTTTGAACTTAATGTAATGTCCTCTTTCATTCAATTATAAGTGACTTATACAGAGGAATTACAAACTACACTAATGTATAGTGCTTAGCATAACAAGGTGTATAAAAACTAGTACTTAAAGGTTTTTGGGGAAGATGTTTCTTTGCACTAAACACAGATCTTTTAGTTAAGTACACATGTGTACGTACACACACACACACACACACACACACACACACACTAGTGTTACTTGAAAGTTCCCGTGGCAGTGAAGTTTGAAGCACAGTAATGTAAATATTGTTTTGACTCTAAAATTAAACCCAGATTTAATTAATATATTATTTTTATCTTGTATTAAAACAAATATTTAAAAGCATTAAAAATAAAATCTTTGGAAGATGGCTGAAGACTGCTTTTCTTTTTTTAAATTTAAGTGAGTGGTCAAGTATCTAGTGAGGTATTGGTGATGGGGCCTGAAAGCTGTATATTACATTTGTAAACATGTAAAATAGTGGCTAGAACAGGGGCCTGGGTATCAGGACTTGACACCTCGCCCCAGTATGGTCAGATTTCCTTTATGACTTTTGGTGAGTCACTTGACCTCTTTGTTTGCTTACTCATATCAACACCAACCCCCCCCCGCCCCTCCCACACACTTTGTTCCCATCCCCACACACTCGTTTACTAGCACCTAACCCTTCCTTCTCTGCTTACTTCCATCTCTGGCTCCTGCAACCTCCTCTTCCTCTGTCTTTTCCCCTATCCCCACCCCCAATTTCTAACTCCTTTAAATTTCAGTGTAGCTGCTTCCACCTAATACTTGCTTCCTGGATACAAGTGTGGATGGGGTGGACAGAGCACAGGAGAGACAGTCTCTCTGCCCTCCCTTCCTGTGCCTGCTGCCACAGTGCCCCCCCAACCTAGTAGCAGGGAGGAGTAATGGCCGGGTAATTCCTGCTCTGTTACTGAAGCCCTAGGATGGAGCATGCTTGGTGCAGGGAGAATCTTTGGAGAATTTACCTGCACAAGTTTCTACTGAGCATGAGCAAACTCAGATTTTACAAAGTTTATGGTGAATTTTCACAGGCACCTCCATGGCAGGTGACCTCTTCCCCCTCCCTCCCCTCCTCCCCCAAATTTCTAGCCTGTGTGCCAATGCTCTTAGCTCCCCCTGTAACAACTCCATGTTTCGCGCACTGCATGAGGGGAAGAGAAGCCAATCAAAACTGCTGTAGGAAATAGCGGTGGGGGAGGGAACAGCTAAAGCTGGATGAGAAGAGGGAGCAGAAAGAGAGGTTGGGGTGGCTCCGCTCCCCTCTCCCTGCCTTACAGATAATGGGCCGATCTGCTTCTCCCCTCTGTCCGTACACCACCACCCAGGGAACAGGCAGGGACGAACTGCTGACGCTGGCTTTCTCTCCCCGAGCCTGGGCGGGGATGAAGACCTTGCACAGCTGCAGAAGGAGCAGAGATGTGCTGGGCAGCAAGGGTCAGATGTTGGAGGGGAGGGGTGAAAAATTGTTATGGGACCGGTGGGCAAGAAGCAGATGTGGAAGGGGGAGCTCAACATTAATTGTGTTTGGGGCACCTGGTGCAAAGTCAGTGTCTGGGTTGAGGCCCCAACTGAATTTCTCTGGTGGCCAAAGATGGTATTTCTCACTATAAATTGCCAATACTCATTGTCACAGGCCCATGTTGGCGGGGGATAGGGGCACAGAGAGTTTTTAAAAAATCAAACAACTTAAAACACACATTTTAAAAAAAAATCATGATTTGTTGGGGTCTGACTTGTGATTTTTTTTTTTTTTTTGTGCTGGGGGGATGCCAGTACTGCTACCGGAATGCAGCAGAGATACTCCAGCAGGGTCAGTCAGAGACTGGCTGAAAGAGAGGCTCAGTGCCTCCAGCTGGGAGAACAGCCCCCCCTTCCCCCATCCTGCCTGTGGGCTTGTGTGTGTCCCCCACCCCCACCCCAGGAAGAAGGCCACTACAGCCAGAGTAGCCCGCCCAAGCTAATGAGACTGCTTGCAATTACAGGAGCCAACAGACCAGATATGTGGACAGTTAAAACGCAGCTGGTGGGCAGTTCTCGGTGAATGGCTTTATTCACGATAACATGGCGGGTAGGAAACTGAAGAGAAACCTAAAGAAGGCTGATTAAGCAATCTGTTGCAGGGAGACTAATATAAAACCCCGACTTCCTGTCATGGGAGAGAGCCACTTTCCCTTTACACTGAACAAGGAAGCTTATAATAAGAAAATGGTGATATCCCAACAGCTCCTCTCCATCTCTCCTCTTCACAGTGGAACCTTGCCAAGAACTTTCCCCAGTTCCTTTCTGCCTGGCTTCCTTCTATCGAGTGAAAGAAACAGTATGTGTTCCTTCCTAGAGACCTTAGCAAAGGCACAGAAACTCTCCTTCAAGCTTGCTGCTTTATGAAGAAACATTTCTCTAATCCTTTGCACCTTCGTATTATTATTTTGCTTCCAGAAGCATTGAGAAGCCCCAGCCCTGATCAAGGACTCTTTGTAGTAGACTCTGGGGCAGGAACTCTCTCTTACCATGTGCCTGTGCAAAGTACTTCCAATATTAATAGATTAAGCATGGGAGACAGGAGGTGGCAGTGTTCCCATTTTACCGATGGGGTGTGTGGCAGGGCAGGGGGTAAAACCCCTGTCACAATGCTGGCTGCAGACAGCTCTCTGGTCAAAAGGCCAGGTAGAGAGACATGGGTATACAGCAGGGAGCCCAGCTGTAAGCCCTAATGAGGGCTAGCTCAGAGCAACAAGCTGGGCTGAGTGGGAACAGCTGGGCTAAAGACTGGGAGGGCTACAAAAGCCTTGGGAAAACCTCAGTGATGGGGTGGTTGGGGAGGAGACAGGAGGGCTGTTTCTGCTGTCTCCTTACCTACTGGAAGGAACCTCAAGGGCTAGAAGACCCTAGGAGGGGTCTGTGGTGTGGTTGTTGTTGGGGGAAGTGGGACTGCACAAGGACACTGTAAACAAAGACACAAAGGTGAAACCACTGAAGAAGGTGGCGGGACTCTTTATTATACCAGCCTAAACACAGGGTGCATGCACCAAAGTGGGAGTGCCGGCACAGACCCTGTGCCAGGGTGCAAAGAAGGAATTAAACAACTAGCCTTAAGTCACGCAGGAAGACTATGGCAGAGCTGGGTATCGAACCCAAACTAATTCCAGTCCAGAGAACCATCCTTCGTCTCTAAATGGCGTGCAGGAGCCATGATATGCTTGACTAGACATTTCACCATGCAGCTAAATCAGCCAAGCACATGAATAAAGTGCCGTCCTTATTGGCGCTGTGGAAGTATAACGTTGTATAAGTGTAACGTTGTATAAGGGGACATGCTGGATACATTGTACATGAGAGGGCATGCCAAAACATGTTACAAAGTATCTGAGGGAGCACACGTAGGGACAGTTAGCTTTTGAATGGAGAAGCAATTAAGATAGAGCCAGCACCAGCACGTCTAAGAAGCAGGCATCAGAATGGAAGGTGTGAAGGGCAATTAGTTAAGTTAACTGGAAGCTGCTAAAGGAGATTGTTAAGGGTGGCAGGTAATTGAAGATACGTGACTGGTCTCAGGGATCTCAAAGGGTGGTGACTAAAATCTTTTTCTTCTTTTGTCTGTAACTTCTCTGTAACTTGTTCTCCAAAAAACTCTATAAATTAAAAGACACAAGCCCCACTCGGGGGGCTCACTTCTAAATGTATTAGCAGAGCAGCTTTGCTAATAAAACAGAGTGGTCTGATAAATTGTGAGTCTGAGTCAAACTTTGACAGCGCACTTTATGAGCTTACCAAAAGAAATTTGTGATTCAATTTTCCCAGGCTCAAAACAAGTCCAGATCTCACCACAGCATTTGAAGGCCTTTTCTCTCAGTGAAGGGTATTTCCATGGCAGGGTCCTGCTTGCAAACCCTACCTGTTTCAGCTACAGAGCTGTTCAAAAAAGACTGGTAAAGATTTTTAATAATAGTGGGGGAAAGTTCTGAACCATTTTGGCTCAGCTCTTATGAAAAGAAAATCACCTTTGGGCAGAGATCAAGTCTGAAAAATTTCAGACCAGAATGCGAAAAATACAGGAAGTTACGAGCAACTGAAAAATTTGATCTTAGACTGGAAATACTTATGCCCCCTTAACTATACTGGTCACTGTGGTTCTTCCTTTTATAAACTCAGAGCTAAAGTTTTTCACGTGAACCAGGAAAAGGCCTGGTGCCAGGAAAAACTACATGTACTTAAGGTTTCACGTGCAGCTTTAACGTCATTTCCTCACTGTTCAGTGCCAAACCAGGCAACTTTTGGGTTAGTTCTGTGTATGGACTGTTACAATAATCCATTGGGAGAAAATGTATCCACTTATTTGAAATATTGTATGTATATATGGCTTTAAATCTGCTTGTGGCTATCACTTTGAATAATGTGTATTGATTGTGCATCTAATTTAATATAATTTCCACTTTTTAAATTGCTTAAAATCAGCAATATATTCGACTTGTCTAGCACTCAGATCACTTAGCTGTCACTTTTATGGATTATTTAAACTCAATTGGCTATAAATGTAAAAAAAAAAAAATAGTGGTGAGATTATCCTGTCCAAACCTAACTACAGTATTAGTTTACAGAAAGTGCAATCCAATCCCCCTAATTAGATTTAAGCCTCTAGGTCCACACCTGCAACTTTGATGGAGCAATATTTTTGTGTGTGGGTATATATATATATATATATATGTGTGTGTGTGTGTGTGTGTTTATGAATAGCAATGGCACTAGTGCATGGAAATCAGGTAATTGGAGGTGCAAATCTGGAGGTTTGTGTCGACAAGTCATGCACCAACTGCAGGTACAAATGCACAGACTACTTCTGAAAACGTAACCCTAAAAATTACACATGGATATGAAACAAAACCTCTGATCCAAGCACCTCTGAACTTAAATTCGGCTCTGAATCCAAACTTCAAAGCTGATTCCTATCACTGTAAGGGAGGAGGAGTTTGGCTCGCTGATTAAAGAAATCTTGCAAGCTGTAGCAATTATGACAGAAGTGTTTCCACATTAGATGGGTAGTGGTATGAGTCAGAGTGACCAGAACGGCAAGAAGTATTCAAAGTGTGGGCATACCATGATTTATAAAGTGGCATTATGATATTTTCCATCTTATCTCTTTCCTAACGGTTCCTAATATTGTTACCTGTTTTGACTCCTGCTACACATCGAGCAGATGTTTTCAGAGAACTCTCTGTGATAACTTCAAGATCTCTTTCTTGAGTTGTAACCACTAATTTAGACCCCATCATTTTGTATATATTGTTGGCATTATGTTTCCCAATGTGCATTACTTTGCATTTATCAACATTGAATTTCATCTGCCATTTCATTGCT